GAGAAAATAGCAGAAAAAGTTAAATTTGAATTTTTATGAGAGAAAATACTATAATAAAAAATTAAGTTATGATTCGAACTAACGAAATGAACGAGACTTAAGTCTCTATTATGAGCTTCAGCAACTCATTTCTACGAAACATATGATTGTTTTCTAAACATTCTTTTCCTTTACATAGACAAAGAATCAACGAGCTCCATGCACAATAATCAGGAATTATACCCTTTTCTACCATTTGTGAAACCATCATTGAAGCCTTCTGAAAATCCCCTTCCCTGCAAAGAGCATGCACCAGAGGACTGTAACTTCCAGCATCAGGAGTACATCCTCTCCCAACCATGTCTTCCACAAGTCTTATGGCATCACTTCTTCCTCGACTGCAAAACCCGCTGATGAGCGAATTGAATGTCGAGGCAATAGGAGAATAGCCACGAGCAATCATCTCATTCATCAGCGCAAGGGCTTCCCGAAGATTCCCTTCTTCGCAAAATCCGCAGATCAAATGGCTGTAAACAATAACACATGGTGCTCCTCCTTCACTAATCAGCTGATCATAAATGCTCTTTGCATCCTCAACCTTTCCCTCACTGCACAAGTTTAAAATCTTCAAACTCCTATCAACAGCTCTAGGAAATAATCTCCCCATATTGGTTAGAAACTCAAGCCCTTCATCCACACGATTTTCTTTGTATAGACCATACAAGATACTATTATAAGGACTAATTCGGCCCCCACAACCCCCTTTACTCTCCTCCATTAGTTGCAGGATCAGAAACCCGTCTTTGGTCCTTCCTCCATAGCACAAACCTCTAATCAATGTGTCATATGTAACCAAATTCGATTGAACCCCATCAGTCTTCATGTCATTAAACAGACCCATAGCCGAATCCAACAAGCCGGACTTGCAGAATCCATGGATCAAAACGTTATAGGTATCTAAATTCGGAAGGCATCCCTTCCTCTCCATTTCCTTCAAAATCCGACGCCCAACTTTCACTTTTCCTGATTCACAAAAGCCTTTGAGTAAGGTGTTATAAGCGACGACGTCGACAAGGCATCCTTTACTCTCCACTCTTTCTAAAATCTCGACAGCCTCAGATACACGCCCTGAGCTGCAGAGAATCTGCAGCACCTTGGTCACGGTAACAATGTCAGGCACAAATCCAAGAGAAAAGCACTTGTCTAACATGACAAGAGCTTGTACTA